GTATGCCTGCAGGCTAGAAGAGGGCACCAGACCTCATTACAGATGGTTGTGAGCCACCATGTGGTTGCTGGGAATTGAACTCAGGACCTTTGGATGAGTAGGCAATGCTCTTAATCACTGAGCCATCTCTCCAGCCCCCAAGAATTTCTTTCTTATATGTCCAAGAAGCCAGTGTGAGGAGGTCAACTTAAAGAAGGATGCTGGGGAAGGATCTAAAGGAAAGGCCATCTCCACAGTGATCTTATGGTGTCAAAAGCAGGGCAAGGGAGAAAAGCGACCCTGGGTAGCTCAGACTGGATCCCTACAGTGTTTACTTTAACATGGAAGTTTTCTTGGAGGAAGGTGGAGACTTAGAGAGAAACGTCTGTCTGGCCCTGGCTGTGAGTTCGGGGGAAAGCTGTTCCTCCCCATTATCCCTTGAGCTTTGTCAACTTAGTCTCTCTGAGCCTCCTGTTATTTGCTGTCAGGGGGTGGTCCCTGGGATCCCTGTGCTCAGCAGGTGGATGTAGTGGAACCAGCCTGAGCTACCCAGAAAACAAATAAATAAAAAATAAATAAGCAGATTAAACCTGCATGATGGAACACACTTGTAATCCAATGGTCAGGAGGCAGATTTTGTCCATGAGTATGAGGCTAACCTGGGCTGCACACTAAAATACTGTCTCACCTGACTGAGGAGTAACAGGAAGATTTACTGTAATAGTATGCATGTTATCAAAGTCTGACATGAGGCTCTCGACTACAGAAGCCCCTTTTGGGTCTACATTTCATGACATACACCCTGCCATGGATGCTGAAACTTTGAATGGTTTCAAATCGTGTGTGTGTGTGTGTGTGTGTGTGTGTGTATTTAGGTTGTTGTTGAGGTAGGTTCTTGCCATATTCTCCAAGCTGGCCCAGAACTGTGATCCTCCGACTTCAGTCTCCGGGGTCCTGGGGTTCTAAGTGTGCTGTCATACCTAGCCTGTGTTTCCTCCTTTAGGTATATACCTGTGATACAATTTAATTTCTAAATTAGGCATAGTAAGAGTTCAACAATAATAATATAGAACTATAACAATATAATGTAATAAAACTTGTTTTAAACTTACAAATTGTTTATTTTTGAAATTTTCCACTTAATATTTTCAGACCATGATTGACAGCTGGCAGTTGAAATTGGGGAAAGTCAGCTAAGGGAGGACTGTTGTCATTATTAAAGCCAGAGTTCTCTTGGCTGATTGCTAGGTCCCCACGTGGTCATATTCTAGCTTGAATTCAAAGCCACTTCCTTTTTGATTTATTTTTTGTTTTGTTTTGAGATAGGGTCTCATTATGCAACCCAGCTGGCCTGGAACTCCTGTAGACCAGGCTGTCCTTGAACTCACAAGAGGCACACACGCGCCCCCCCCCCCCCCCCCCCCCCCCCCCCCCCGGCTGAAATTAAGTCATGTGCCACCCGCACCTGGCCCCAGTTTCTTAGGATAAAGGACTGGTGGTCTTCAAGTTGCTCTTCTCTAGCCTGTGAAAGAGTAGGTCCTGTTCTCTGTCACTTACTGTTTCTTGTGGTGTTTCCTCTTTAAAAAAGGAGGGTGTTGGACTGAATACAGGAGAGGAGAGGCAGCACATGGCTTATCCTGTGTGCCAAGTGATTATCTGATCATGAATTAATGATTTTTTGTTTGTGTTTATTTTATTTATTTAGAGATAGGGTTTCTGTGTGTAGCTTTGGAGCCTGTCCTGGAACTCACTCTCTAGACCAGGCTGGCCTCAAACTCACAGAGATCCGCCTGTCTCTGCCTCCCAAATGCTGGGATTAAAGGCGTGCACCGCCACCTCCTGGCTCAATGCCATCATTAAACTGTAAAGTGGGTAAAAGAAACTGACATCCCACTGGATCCACTTTCTACTAGGTTCCTGGGCTTTGGCCAAATAGTCTCTTTTGTCAGGTTAGAGCAGTCGCCTCTTCACTGGGCTCTGGGCTCTGTCTTTTCTCCTTCGTTTTGAGTTCCTAGAGAGAGCATGTTAACATGTGTGAGCTAGTCATTTTCCTGAGGAAAATTCTCAGAAATCCCAGCCTTCCCCGTGGCCAGGGCCCCGTTTCCCTCCTGATAACTTGGCCTTGTCACAGTGTCTTCCTAGCGTCCCCTACATCGGCAGCATTCTAGCAGAACCAGCAGTCTTAACTCTTTGGTCCTGTAAGCAGGATTCTTCCCAGGGCTGGAGGAAATTGGTAGCCAAGCTCACTGACACTGCTGTGTCACCAGCACCAAGGTTTTGAAACAGGGTCCCCATATGTAGCTCAGCTGGCCTGGATCTCTTGATCCTCCTGTCCCACTGCTGGTTTTTCGGGCACCTAGCACTTTTTGTTTAATTGCAAATCCCCAGTGCTGCTTAACTCTATAACCTAGAATGTGCCCAATAAACTTTATGAATTAATACAATTAATACAATGCCACCCGGCATTGTGATGTATTAACTCTTTATGTAAGTGCACAACCACGGAGGCAGGCTCAGTTTCCTATTTTACAGGTGGAAGAAATGAGGCTCAAAAAATTTGCAGTGTGCGGGAGACCAAGGTTTCCGCTGAGGCCTCTTAAGGTTGACCTGTCCTCCCTCTCCCTGCAGGTTGCCAGCCAGATGCCAGCGCCGTCGGTCGACCCGGCGCGGCCCCACGCGTGCCCAGACTGCGGCCGCGCCTTTGCGCGCCGCTCCACACTAGCCAAACATGCGCGCACGCACACGGGCGAGCGTCCCTTCGCGTGCACGGAGTGCGGCCGGTGCTTCTCGCAGAAGTCGGCGCTGACTAAGCACGGCCGCACGCACACGGGCGAACGACCCTACCAGTGCCCGGAGTGTGACAAGCGCTTCTCCGCCGCCTCGAACCTGCGGCAGCATCGGCGGCGTCACACGGGCGAGAAACCGTACGCATGCGCACACTGCGGCCGGCGCTTTGCGCAGAGCTCCAATTACGCGCAGCATTTGCGCGTGCACACGGGCGAGAAGCCTTACGCGTGCCCGGACTGCGGACGAGCCTTCGGCGGAAGTTCGTGCCTGGCGCGCCACCGACGCACGCACACGGGCGAGCGCCCGTACGCATGCGCCGACTGCGGCACGCGCTTCGCTCAGAGCTCGGCGCTGGCCAAGCACCGGCGCGTGCACACGGGCGAGAAGCCGCATCGGTGTGCCGTGTGCGGCCGGCGCTTCGGCCACCGTTCCAACCTGGCGGAGCATGCGCGCACGCATACGGGCGAGCGGCCCTACCCGTGCACGGAGTGCGGCCGGCGCTTCCGCCTCAGCTCACACTTCATCCGCCACCGTCGCGCGCACATGCGGCGCCGCCTCTACATCTGCGCGGGCTGCGGCCGAGACTTCAAGCTACCCGCCAGTGCCACAGCCGCCACGCCCACCGAGCGCTGCCCGGAGTGCGAGGGCAGCTGAGCCACGGCGGGGCAGCGAGGGCCACTTGGGATTTGCACCCGAATGGCTGCTTCCACGCTTGCACCTGGGTCGGGGTGCTTTGGGACTGGGCAACAGGGAGTGCCCTGTTGGGATCTCTAGAAACCGTGCCCCGTCCCCAGCTACATTCCCTTGGCCCTTCTGAGTGAATAAAGTATTCTATCCTCACTTCACTGGTGCCTGTAAGTGAGGTGGGTGGCAAGGGGAGGAACACCAGGTATGGAGCAAAGTGGGGTATAAAGTAGCCTGAAGGGATTCCGGGGACCGGGAGACACACACCTTGCTTTGGCTATGGCTCAATCTCAGCTCTGAAAAGAACCATAAACAGGACATGTCATGACATGTTCTACAGCCTTGGGGGATCAGTATGACAAATGGGGATAGGGTTATGTAGATGTAAGAACTCACTTAAGTACATTAACTTTACCCACATTTATTTAGGGTCTAAGTGGACCCACTACTCATATACACCAGGCAGGTCTTACACTCTGGGGAATCGCTTTCTGCTTCCTGAATCCTGGGATTACAAACTTGTACCACCACGGCTGGCCCCAAACCTCATTTTATCTTCACTTTTGCAGACAGCTAGTGAATGGCCTAACAAGGAAATTAGCAATCCCAATCCGGTGTTCACCAGAACTATGATGGGGAAAGTAGGCAGTGATTCAGCCCTGGGGTGTGTGTACATGCGTCCATACACATTTAAAAAAAAAATTTTTGCAGAGGCTCTGAGTTCCATTCCAAGAATCCATAACTCTAGTTCTAGGGGATCTAAAGCTCTTGTCCAACTTCACGGGCACCAGGCACTGACATGGTACACAAACACACATGTAGGCAAAACATTTCATTATAAAAAAGTTTTGGTTTGTTGCCCAAACTGCCCTCAAGCTTGGATCCTTCTGCTAGGGTAAGTGCCGGGTGTGATATCTGAGTCCAAGGCCAGCCAGCCATAAGTAGTGAGGTCTTGTCTCAACAAACAACAAAAAGACCCGCCCCAAAGGAGCAGAAAGTGTGCTAACCGCTAAGCAATCTGCAACCCCAGGAGTCATGCTTTTCCCCTGTGGCGTACACCTTATTTCCATGGTACCATTTTTATTCATTTGGGAATATCACACAATGCACCGTTTACTCTCATTTTCAGTTCCTCCCAGGTCCACCCTCCAGCTTGTGCCCTCACCACAAAAAGATAAAAATGCATCAGGTTCAACAGGTCCAATTTGCATTGCCCATCCACTACTCACTGGAGCATGGCCAAACGCCCAGTGGCCGGCCAGCCCCTTAAAGATAACCGAGTCGTTCCCCACCTCCCTCCAGAGGCCATCAGCTGTGAAGAGCTACACTCCAGCATCCCTGTTAGAAGTCACCTTTTAAGGTTTGTCAGGATGGTGGCGCACGCCTTTAATCCCAGCACTCAGGAGGCAGAGGCAGGCGGATCTCTAAGGCCAGCCTGGTCTACAGAGCGAGTTCTAGGGCAGACTCCAAAGCTACACAGAGAAACCCTGTCTCAAAAAATAAAACAAAAACCCAACAAGATTCAGAGGGTTTGGGAATATAAAATAAAGCAGTTTAATGATGACTTACTTGCTTTACCTGGGAAGGCAAGAGGGGCAGGAGAGGGTGCTGGGAAACCCTCACTTCACTAATGTGCAAACAGGCTGAGGGGCAGATAATCACTACTACTGCTTTCTCTGTGTGACCCTGTTTTGGGGAGGCAGGCCTAACAGTCTTAGGGGAAGGGGGGGTGCCTTAGGTTACACACCACATAAATCATTCACACAGTACCACCTCGTTGCAGAGGAAGAACAGAATTAGCCAGGTGAGAGGGGTGGGTGGCCTTTACTTGTACCAAGGGACCAAAGAGGAAAGGAAGCTGTATTCTGCACTCATCAAAGCCTTGTGGCCCACATTTACTTCCGGTTCTCTGCTTTTGTAAGCCTGCTTCTCTGAAGGCCCTGAGATGTTCCACCTAGCCACCCAGGAAAAATCTAGACGTCGTTGTCATGTATCATTTTATTGAGAGAGAAGAGACCAGGAGATTATCTTTTGGAAACCCGGGCCTCAGACCTATGACTCAGTTAAGAACGGACTAGAACGAGTCCATCTCTGCTGTTCTGACACTGTTTCCTAGGTGGAGGCCTGGCTTTCAAACTCAGAGGTAGGTTCTGCAGCCCCTACAGCCTGGTTTTCGGGGATGGCCCCGTGGGGCAAGTCTGTGTACTTGCAGGCAGAACCTCGGGAGAGATGGACTGGGTAGCGTCGTCGGTTGGTGTCCATTTTGGCAATTACTGCTCGAGGTAAATCCACACGACAACGGGCTGCTAATGCCACCAGGTAGATGAGGACGTCGCTGAGCTCCTCCTGAAGGGCTGCTCGTTCCTTTGGCAGCCAGGCTTGAGGACCAGGCTCTGCATCAGACTTCCACTGGCTGGAAGGAGAACCGGACAAACACACAGCTTGCTAGCTGAGCGGGCCTGTCTCCAGTCTATCAAGTATCACACTCCCAGAGCCCAGAAAATCCCACCAAGGACATCTACCTGCCTGTGCTCTGGAGAAGCCAGGTGGGGTGGGGAAGAAGACTTAACAGGTAACAGCCAAACCCCATGACTCCACCCAAGCCGAGTGGCCAAGAGAGCACTGTTGAGATGCTTGGGGGCTCAATTCTAGTGTTCTCTAGGCTTAGCTGCTGCCCTTCCACACCAAACCCCAGGCCTAAGTCAGTGCAGAAGCTGAATTTATCTTCACGTCATCTTTACCCACTCATCTCCCACCCAAAGCCACTTCACCTTCTCTGTTTGCGGTCACTGCTTTCTCGCACACCACCTGCAGAGTCCCCAGATTTTCCCCTTCTTGATCCTTAGGTATCAACTCAGAGGTCACTGCCTCAGACACCCTCCTGTCCACTCCCAACACAGCTTCTTAGGTAGCCGAGGCAGAACACCCACTCCTCCAGCCGCTTCCTCTCGAGTGCTGGGATTGCATCTCACACCATCACAGCTGCCTCTGTTTTGTCTGAACCCTGGCCACAGTCACCGATCATTTGAAATTAGCTCCTGATTATCAGTCTCCTTCCACTAGGACCGGAGTGGGCCTGGTCCAAGGCCCCGTCTAGGTTCACACCGCCTGTTCACTAGTCTGCTCCACCCCATCCTCTCAGACATCCAACTGCCCTGCAGGCAGAGATCTTTCTGTGATTCCGGTTAGATCAGGCCTTCTGTCTGGACGCCATCACCTTCTAGCGCCAACCTTCCCTGCCTGGGTTTGTCTCCCACAGTTCCTTCTACAAAATGCTTACAAGGCCATCATATACTTGGGGCATACCGGACAACAAGAACAGACACAAGATCCCTCATACTGAATTTGTCTCTCAGAATTTAACTTGCCCTTTCTTGTCTCACTACTTTTCTTTCTTCAACAATTTAGCTACTGTTCAAGTATGTGTGTAAGCACCTGGGTGTCTCTATGCACTGTGTATATGCAGGAGCCTCCAAGGCCAGAAGACAGTGTCAGGTCCTCTGAAACTGAAGGGAGTTATGACCTGTAACAGGAGTGCTGGGAACGGAACTCAGCTCTTCTGCAGGACCAGAAAGTGCTCTGGAGACCTCAGCAGCCCCTTCACCACCTCTGTAAGTGGGAGCTCCCCACCTGGCTGGTCACAGGGCAGGTCATGTTTTGAGATTCCTTATTCTCAGATCCACACAGAAATAAATGTGAGTGACAACCGTCCTTAGACCTAGGTCGGCTTCACTGCTTCTGCACTTTCTCTCCCCAGAAACTGGGCACCTACACGGCTGGGACCTATCTGTCTGTCACCTGCATGTCCCCAGCAGTAAGGCAAATAAAAGCCACCACTGTGTTTGAGGCTCAGGTACATGCTACCCTCCCCAAATCACAGCCCCTTCCAGGAAGCCTCCCATCTACTCACAAGAGTTCCGCCAGCTCACCCACTTCTCCCACCAAGGCTAGGAGCAGGTTCCGAGGTCGGTGGAACTGCTCCCAGTCCCGTTCAGCAGCAAATTCTGCATGGAGACGTCGGCTGGAAAGAAAGAAAAGGGTGGGGTGTTAAAGTCAGGGTTAGAGGGCGAGGGACAAGCCGCACGGCCCTGGCAGGTAGCAGGTCAGGTCTTACATATAGATGGGGCACAGGACTAGGAATCCCAAAGTCAATCTCCTGGATGTTCTTAGGTACTACCTCTTTTTTTGTTTTGTTTTGTTTTGTTTTTTGAGACAGAGTTTCTCTCTAGCTTTGGAGCCTGTCCTGGAACTAGCTCTTGTGGACCAGGCTGGCCTCGAACTCACAGAGATCCGCCTACCTCTGTCTGGGATTAAGGAGTGCACCTTAACAAGAGTTTCTCTCTAGCTTTGGAGCCTGTCCTGGAACTAGCTCTTGTGGACCAGGCTGGCCTCGAACTCACAGAGATCCGCCTACCTCTGTCTGGGATTAAGGAGTGCACCTTAACAAGAGTTTCTCTCTAGCTTTGGAGCCTGTCCTGGAACTAGCTCTTGTGGACCAGGCTGGCCTCGAACTCACAGAGATCCGCCTACCTCTGTCTGGGATTAAGGAGTGCACCTTAACAAGAGGATGCACTTTTGAGGCGTCCCCTGGGAGCCTTCCTTGATATTCTACAAGAAATAACATCTCTGTACATTTCAGCCTCCCCTGTCCTACTACCCCTCACTCTTGGGTGCAGAGATACTATCAGACTTCCGTTATCTCCCTAAAGTTGTGGACTAAAGGTTGGTACTACCATGCCCAGGAGCGTCACCCATTTCCCCCGGCTTCAGATGTGCACCGTGCAGATGGGGTTTAGCTAGGCTCGCCAGAGGTCCGTCAGGAGGACCCCGACGAACACGAGCGTGTTGTTCTTGCAGGCCACGTGCAGAGGACCGTCCCACTACGACAAAAGGGTCTAAGTCTCCACCCGAGGCTGGACAAGGACTTGCTTACATGTCCTCAAGCGTGGGCTCCGGGCTGAAGCTGAACGGGCCGGCAGCAGCAGAGTTTTCTTGTCCCGCATCACCGTCCGCACCGCCACCGGCTTGGGACATTCCGCCCACCAGTCCCCGCCACGCCGCAGCTGGCAAACCCCGCGCCACGTTCGGAGTCGCCTCCAGGGTCCCGACCAATCCCAACGCCTTGGTGCGCTCCCGGGGCGGAGCCGGAGGAGGATCCACTCAGCTACGTGGATTTTGTTACGGTCCGTCCCCCAACCGTACTGGACCAATCTGAGGGAGCTTCAAGAGTGTTTTCCCCGCCTGCTCCCTCGAGTTCTTCCGCCCGAGAAAAACTTCTTAAAGGGAACGGAACCAGTTCTGTCTTGAAAACAGACTAGGGCAGAAAGACATTGTTTGCTTAATGGGCGCCAGAGGGCGCCAAAGTGAAATGGCAGGCGCGGAGGAGGCGGGTCCACTGTAAGCAAAACCTTGAAAGTGACTTCTCCTCCTCCTCCTTTTTTTTTTTTTTTTTTTCCCGTGACAGGGTTTCTCTGTAGCTTTGGAGCCTGTCCTGGAACCAGCTCTTGTAGACCAGGCTGGCCTCGAACTCACAGAGATCCGCCTGACTCTGCCTCCCGAGTGCTGGGATTAAAGGTGTGCACCACCACTGCCCAGTGAGTGAAGGATCTTGAGCATGCCTTGTCTCTTGGTTAGGAAACTGCTTAAAGTTCTAGAACAGCCTTCCCACAATTTGAAAGAGGCTAACAAGAAAGAGTGCAGACTGACAGACACAAGGAGGACCCAGGCTTTGTATTCCATTTCAGCCTTCTGCCCCAATGGATTCTAACAATTGGAAGCGATTAACCCTTCCTTGTCCTACAGGAAGAGGAAGGCACTCCTCCTCTTCACCTGCAGCATAGAATACAGGATACTGAAATTTGTGGCAGGTAGTTAGGGTCTGCTCTCTTCCCACCTTTCCAGCTCTGTGGGTCACTATCACAGCCTTACACAATACACAAGAGGACACCAAACTCGTTTATATTAGTGAGTTTATGAACGTTTTTTTCCTCTTTTATTTAAAAAAAAAACAACCCGTAGTTGGTGTGTGTGTGTGTTCTCTGCATGTATGTCTGTGGACCACTTGCGTGCCTGGTGTCCAGGGTGGCCAGAAGAAGATGTCAGATTCCCTGGAACTGAAGTTAGACAGCTGTAAGATGCCAGTGGGTCCTGGGAACAGAACTGAGGTCCTGTAAGAGCAGCAAGTGATCTTATCCTTGGAGCCATCTTTCCAGCCCCTTAAGAATTTTTCTTCCTTAAGATCTATGAAGAAAACTATGTGTATGCATGTGTTTGAGCATGTGCACATGAGTAAAGTTGTCCACACAGGTCGGAGGTGTGGAATTCCCAGAAGGTAGAGTTATCCATGGTTGTGAGCCGCCGATGTGGGCAGGTGATCCCTCTGCAAGAGTAGCAAAGGTTCTTGGTTGCTGAGCTGTCTGCTCAGCACATCCTTTTCCATTTTTAAGGGTGCTGGAATCCAACCCAGAGACTTGACCTTGTTAGGCAAGTGCTGTCCCCAGTCCACTGAGCCACCCCAGCACTTGAGAGTTATTACTTTCACATCTGAAAAAATCACCCAGTCATTGCCCATGACAAGAAGGGAGTTACCAAAGAAGAGGCATTTTGTTTGTTGGTTGGTATTTTGTTTGTTGGTTGGTTGGTTGGTTGGTTTGATTTTTTGAGGCAGGGTTTCACATTGTAACCCAGGCTGTCCAGGAACTCACTATACAGCTCAGGAGACCGTCAAACTCATGCCAATCCTTCTCCATCTTCTAGACCTGGTGTTACAGGCATGAGGCTCTGTGCGCTTTTCAGGTTAACTTTACAGAGTGCTGTGTAGTGCTGCATTGCTGTCACGCTTGCTTTCTCTGTTCCCCACTTGCATTTTTATAGGAGAGAAAGAAAAGCTGAAAGAGCAGAGTAAGATTGTGAAAATTAAGGTCACACAGTGTGAGAGGGTAACACTTAGTGGTAGAGTTTTTCATGCAGAAGGCCCAACACCAGATTAACAAAACCCAAAGGTGTCACGATTTCTGTCTCGGTTCAGATAGATACCTCTGACAAGCTAGTGCACATATCTGGAGAGACGGAAACATGAAGGTCATGCAGCCCGATTTATAATAGTGAGAAAAGCGAAGGGCAGTTCAGAGGGTAGCAGAAGCATGTCTATGCTGGGGGCTGCTTACGCGGTGGACATTGTTAGCAGTTCTCCTGGAGTGCAAGCAACTGTCTGTCGTGAACCAGCCTCAACAAAAATACCACTTACCAGGGTAAGGGCATGGGGATCAGAAAATAGTAAGAAGGATGAAGACGCAAGTAAAATTAATAAAACAGAAACATAGGAGAGTATTGGGAGGAAGGTCCAGGCAATACTGAAATCACCCATGTTTAATTTTCCATACACTTTTTTGGAGACAGGGTTTCCTTGTGTAACAGTCCTATTGTCCTGGAACTAGCTCTTGTAGACCAGACTGGCCTCGAACTCACAGAGATCCACCTGCCTCTGCCTCCTGAGTGCTGGGATTAAAGGCGTGTGCCACCACCAGTGCCCAGCCAACTTTTATACCTCAATACAAAGGACAACTCCAACAGTTAGTTGCTTCAACACTTTGAGACATCAAGTTATTAGCATTCTGTTGTTTAGGCAGTGAGGCCACCCTAGACCAAGTATCCTGACGGCAGTCACTCCCCAGGTTAAACCTCTTAATACAAAAGGAGCAGAGGTATGCTTGCATATCCTGACCGTCTGTCAGGATGGAGTTGACGTACGTGTATGAGCCATCTTAATGTCGAAAGAACCAAGTAACCACATCCTGGGTCAGGACGTGTAGCCCTGGTTGTTGTCAGCAGTTTTGAACCTCAACTCTGACCTTCAGCTAATGGATTTGAATGCACTCTGATATGCCCTACAAAGCATGACAACCTTCTTTGCTGTATGGCGTTTGAATTTGCTGGAATAGCATTTTAACTTGCTTATTGCTAGTCCCAATACATGGGACATTTTCTATGACTTGAAGAGCATTAAAAATATATTGGTGTCAGTACACAGATTAAATACCTTATTTGCAAAAAGTTGAAACACTATAACAACAGCTCCAGCTCAACTATCTGAGCTGAGGATGGTTTGGTTCACAGTACATGACCTTTACCACCAACACAGCTGCTCTTCCACTGGAAGAAACATCTGTAAAAATTATTATAGAATCCTTTAATGGATCTTTCATTTCAACTTTAGAGAAAATAAAGAAATATAGTTGTTTGAATGGCAGCAGCAGATGAGCTGGGAAAAGATTATTAATCTGGCCTTCAAACTGAGCAAATACAATTGCCCAAGAATCACTATTTTGAAATAACGGATCAATCTGTTGCTTAGTATAAGAAATGTTGATCATAGCAGGTTCCCTGACAAAGTATCTCCTAGATTCCATCCTGTTCTTCTGTGCTAAACAAGCTACTGCTTCAAAATAAGGGTTTAATGCCTTAACTGGTGAAATGGGAAGGTATAGCCATAAAAGCGGGCCATTTTGCCATAATACTGTTGTAGGAGTAAGTTCTGTAGGTAATATGCATGCTTGCCGAGGTTGATTGTAATTAATATAATGTACTTGCTGTCTCTGTATAGCATATTCTTCCTGTGTGAATTTTTGACAGCTTTTGTAAATTGTCTAGTAGAATTTGGATCATTGCTTTCTTGAAGAATTTCACCTAATGGCCCAATGGCTGTAGGATATTTTATTTATTTTTTTAATATATTTATTTATTTATTATGTATACAATATTCTGTCTATATGCCTGCAGGCCAGAAGAGGGCGCCAGACCTCTTTACAGATGGTTGTGAGCCACCATGTGGTTGCTGGGAATTGAACTCAGGACCTTTGGAAGAGCAGGCAATGCTCTTAACCACTGAGCCATCTCTCCAGCCCCCCTGTAGGATATTTTAAAATAAGGTTTCAGCCATTGGATATTTTATTAAAAGTTTGTAAACTATCTTTCTAATCTAAGCTGCAAGTCTGCCCCAGCTGACTTAAAAAAAAAAAAAAGCCCAGGATGCTTCCTCCTCTACACAGTATTGAG